ACAGTCCCCCCTAATCGGGATTGTTAGGTTTATTTGAGGGTTGTATCGGGATTCTGTTTGTGCTCTCAGTAACTATAATACTGAGTTCTTTTGAGGTGTACATAATTTCATATTTGGTTGATTCTGTTTGTGCTCTCAGTAACTATAATACTGAGTTCTTTTGAGGTGTACATAATTTCATATTTGGTTGATGAATAAAGTTTTTCATTTACCAAAAATACTGAGTTCTTTTGAGGTGTACATAATTTCATATTTGGTTGATGAATAAAGTTTTTCATTTACCAAAAGAAAAAAAACCACAAAAAAGAAAACACGAGAAAAAATATGGTATTTCGGCAATTGCCTATGTCAATGGGTAGAGATTTGAATTTTCTATATATAAGAGATTACAAGATACTATCTATTCTTGTATTCTTGAAAGAACCCACAAGGAACCCTCTCTCAATCTCACCAAAACATCTCTCAAAATCTTAGATTTTTCTACTTAGCTTCTCCATCTATCTTTTATAATATGCAACTCTCTTTGGCTTTCGTGTGTTAAAAAAAAAAAAACCTCTCGAGGATATTTGAAGAGTTTTCCCCCTCTCTTTAATTCACGTCGGACTCTTTCTTTGACTTATATTATCAATTCTAATTCTCTTTCAACTAAAATTCTGTCTCAATTGCAATTGATACTTTCTAATTAAATTCAATTACAATCCAAGCTTAACTAGGATTTCCCGAAATTCAAGGCTATTTCCCAATAAAAACAACCCCACTAACCTACACCAATTTATTTGTAGTATTACCAAAAAGTTGAAACTTATGCAGCTCTAGTTACAACAAATGTAGTTTTAGCTTAGGCTCTTAAATTTTAATGAGGGTGTCTTTCGTATCAATTATTTGGGAGTTCCTTTAATATGCAAATGACTATCTTACAATGATTGCACTTCTCTGTTAAACAAAATATCTGGTCAGTTCTAGGTCTATTTGAAAAATAGGATGCTTTCTTACGCAGGCAGATTACAGATTATCAAAAGCATTATACTTGGTATACAAATCTATTGGATATCAAAGTATATTCTGCCTGTTAAGGTGCTAAAGAAGATTGATGAAATGTGCAGATACTTCCTGTGGGGTAAAACTGAGCATGTTCATAAAATTTCTCTTATTTCTTGGGACACGACTTGTTTAAGCAGGAAGCAAGGTGGTCTTGGTATATATTCTGCTTCTATATGGAATTTGGCTTCAACTTTAAGAACTCTTTGGCTCATTCATAATAACAAGGAAAATCTTTGGATTAAGTGGATACATTGCATATACTTAAAGAATAATGATATCTGACATATTCAAGCAAAGAGTAGGGATTCGTGGATGTGGAATTTTTTTTTGAAAGTCAGAGATAAGGCTCTGAGAATATATGGAAGTGCTAACAATCTGATGCAACTAATTCAAAGCTGTTCCAAGAATTCAAAAATCCAGCTCTCTGTACTGTATTCTGCTCTATCTCCTGCTACCTCTGTAGTGCCGTGGTACAATGCAGTTTGGGAACCTTCAAATCTGCCTAGGCATTCTTTTGTCATTTGGTTAACAGTTCAAGATCATTTGCTCACACAAGGTAGACTGATCAAAAGAAGGATTGTGAGTGTTAACAATTGTTGCTGGTGCTCTGGTTCTGAGAGCAGGGACCATCTTTTTTTTGAATATCACTACTCAAGGGATGTTTGAGACATGGTTATGAATTGGCTACAATTCAGGTGGAGATCTTGCATTTGGAGTCAGATTATAAACTGGTGTTGCTTTAGATTGAGGGGGAATGATTTTAAGCAAAAAATTAAGAAAATGGCTCTCACCTCAACAATCTATAATATTTGGTGTGAAAGGAACTCCAGAATTTTCAGACAAGAAGGAAAAATTGCTGTTCAACTGTTTAAGGAGATAAAGTTCAACATTCTATCTAATATCCTCAATGGCTCCTTCTCGGCGGAAGACAAAGAATGACTTAGTACTTTGTAATTTCTTGAGGATGTGAGTAGCTGTTAGTTAACATGTAATCTCAGTCTACTGAGGAAGTTGATGTGCTGAACTTTCAATATTTGGAAGATGAATGAAATTTTCATTGACCAAAAAATTGTAGTTTTAGCCTTTTTTGTATGTAATAGATAAGATTTTATTACTGAAGAGAAATGAAGCACAAACAAACTGCAAACAAAACGGCCTCTGCTTGTAAAATAGAGAGCCATAAAACAGAAAGGAAAATGATGAGAAACCACCCTCAAAAGATATATCAGACTAACAAAATAAGGGCTCGAAATAAAATTACAAAGAGGAAACTAGTCAGACCCTACTATCTCCTCGAGATAAACTGAGGCATCATGTCATTGCATCACGCCATATTCTAGTTTTCCTTGTATCTCTAAGCCTTAAAATCCTGCTGCACTGGATCATAATTTCAAAATTTGTTTGCTTATAAATTACATCTAATTGCCTCCTCTCATGTTGGAAAATGAGACGAGAATATTCCTCGCAAGCCATATGTGATATATACAATTAATAAAAGGTGTTCCCCTTCAAGATTGTTCCATTCAAGATATATCATCACGCCAAGAGGTAGAAAGATTAGAAATTTAATGAACTATAAGAACTTCTTCCCAAGATGACTCACATTAAAAAAATAGACGGTCCCTAGTCTTGGTCTGAGTTTCACAAAAAGGACATAAATTCTCATGCAGGATGCCAAATTCCCTTAAAGGCTTAGCTTTGACAGGCATTCTATCAAGGCACACCAACCAGAAAATGGATGCATGCTTAGGTATAGTGTACATACTCCGGATTAAGTTAGTTCATTTCTCGCTCTCTAAAATTCCAGCTATAAATTTGTATGTAGCAGAAGTGTTGAAATCACGGTTTCCCCCTTTCCAACTAATGCTCGTAGTAGAAAAGTCAACATAGTAAGGCAATTTCCCTAAGCCTTAGAATCATTCTAAAAGACCAAGAGTAATGATTTTTAATATCAAGTGTCTAGAAATCATGGTTCCTAAGATAGTAACCATCTCACCCACAGAAAAGAAAACACAAAGAGAAATGAAGCGCAAAAAAATTGTAAACAAATTAGCCTCTCCTAGTAAAATAGAGAGCTATAAAACAGAAAGGAAGAAGATGAGAAATCACCCTCAAAAGATTTATCAGACTAACAAAATAAGGTCTCAAAATAAATTTACAAAGAGGAAATTAGTCAGACCCTACTTTCTCCTCGAGATAAACTAAGGCATTGTGTGCATAGCATCACACCATACTATGTTCTTCCTTATATGTCTAAGCCTTGAAATCCTTTTCAATAACTATTTGCTTGTAAATTGCATCCAATTGCCTCCTCTTATATTCAAAAATCAGACGGTAATATTCCTCGCAAGCCATATGTGATATATACAATTAATAAAAGATGTTCACCTTCAAGATTGTTCCATTCAAGATATAGCCTCACGCCAGGAGGTAGAAAGACAAAAATTTAAATGAACTATAAGATCTTTTTCCAAATATGAGAACTAAACTCACATTCAAAATACAGATGGTCCCTAGTCTCGGCCTGAGTTCACAAAAAGAACATGAATCCTCATGTAGGATACCAAATTCCCTTAACGTTTAGCTTTGACAGGAATTCTATCAAGGCACACCAGCTAGAAAATGAATGCATGCTTAGGTATAGTGTACATACGCTAAATTAAGTTAGTGTCACCTTAGTTAGTTTCATCTCTCTCTCTCTCTCTCTCTCTCTCTCCCTCCCCCCCTCCCCCTCCCTCCCCCTCCCTCCGCTCCGCTCCCTCTCCTAAAAATTCTAGCTATAACTTTGTATATAGCAGAAGTGTTAAAATCAGGGTTTCCTCCTTTCTATCTAAGGCCCGTAGCAGATAAGTCAACATAGTAAGGCAGTCTCCCCAAGCTTTAGAATCTTTCTAAAAGCCTGAGAGTAATAATTTTTAATATCAAGTGTCTAGAAATCATAGTTCCTAAGATAGTAATCATCTCACCCATCTCACCCATCTCACCCACATAGTATCTTATTTTGGCACCACTGCCCAAATGTGCTTAATCATCAAAGGTTTATTAAACACCTCGATACTTTATAAACCAGGTCCACCACAATTTTTAGGAGTACAAACACTTAAACAGACAACCTTAGCTTTGTGATGATTATGAAGATCCCCAAAATTTAAAGGAAATCTCTACAAACCTTTTAAATAGTTTTGGCAAATTTTTAGGTAGGATAAAAATACCACATTAATAGTTGTGCATGCTATATGATGAGTTATTTATGTGTTCTGCAAGTGCACACCTTTTATTGTAGACTTAACATGTCGATCCACTGGAAAATTAGTTAGGAAAAAAAAATCCATTTTAAGTTCCTAGGGATTAAAAAGGATCTTTGATTGCAAAAGAGTTTTTTTTAATTTATAAACTTAAACCAGATTTCTTAGGCTAACTCCACTAGGTTTTCTAAACTAGATCTTTTATTTATTAGAATCCTAAAAATATAAGCTATATTTCATTAGAAAATATAACCTATCAATTAGTTTATTCTAATCTTCAATTAATTTTGAGCTGTAGTTTTCTTGTGTGGACCAATTTTGGTGCTGCTGATTTTATTTGTAAGATCGAGTATGCCTGAGCATTTTGTTTGTACTTACACTGTTTAGTTGGTAAATGACATTATTATTCATTGACCATAAAAGTTCTTCAATCAATTAATCTAGACTTATTATTACTAGAGTTTAATCTTCTAAGTACAGGTTATGCCTAATTGAAGTCTATAACCTGTCAAATTAAATCTAACCCCAACTTTTATTAATCTAAACTAATCTTTTTCTTTATTTGACTTAAAAATATCTTTTTATTTTTATTTTTTTATTTTTTATTTTTTTGATCAATGAAATAAAGCTTTATTCATCAGTCAAATATAGAAATGTTTGTACATCAAAAACCAGGCAGCCAGAGACTCGACCTGGTAACCAGAGAAAAAACCACTACAACTTCACAAGTTCATCCTTCATATGTACAGGTATATCCTCATTTAGTAATTTGGAATATATGGAATACTTAATTGCTCGAAAGAGATCAGCAGGCCCCCTCGCTTTTGCTTGAAAAATTCTATAATTCCTCTCTTGCCAAATAGAATAGACAGCAGCAGCAAGAGCCATTCTTTTCATATTCTTCTTAAAGTTCTTACCTCTCAAGTTGTGAGAGTACCAGTGGATGAGCAAGCACCAGTTACAAGTTCTCCAAGTGAATCTCAACCAGTCCATCAACATGTTCCAGACAGCAGCTGAGTAGTGGCATTCGAAGAAGAGATGCTTACAATTTTCAGGCTGACTGGAACACAGAACACATAGATTTGCATCTAATAATCTCAGCCTACACAATCTCTCCTGGGTAAGGTGCCTTGAGTGGTTAACTAACCAGAGGATGAAGGAATGTTTAGGGTAATTCAGTCTCCCCCATGTAGTTTCTGCCCATACTGCTGAGGTATTAGATTGGTACAGGGCATTGTAGATTGCTGACATACTGATTTTTCCATTGACACAACAAGAATCCATTGAGCTCATCAATACTTCAGTATTGCCAAACTTAGCTAACAACATGTTTCTAACTTTGAGAAGTTGCTTCCACATCCAAGAATCATTGCTCCTATGTTGAACTTGCCAAATATTTGAGTGTTGTAAATAATGACCGTGCACCCATTTGACCCATAACAGGTCTTTTTTCTGATGTATCAACCAAAGAAGTTTAATAGCTGCTGCATTATTCCACTCCTTTGCCGAAAAAAGGCCTAAGCCACCTTGCATCCTTCCTAAACAAACTGTGTTCCAGGAGATCAGATGGATTTTTTGACCCCAAAGGAAAGAGGAGCAAAGTTTATCAATTCTTTCAAGAACTTTTATCGGCAATATATCTTTTTATTGATCTAATCTAGTGTTTTCTTTGAAAGTTGCCTTCATTACTGATTTCATTATAACTTTAGTCGTTTACAAAGAATTCAAATAATGAATAATAAAAAAAAAATAAAGGAATTACAACTCTCTCGAAAATAACACAAGATCCGTTTGTCGTCTCTTGCTTGCGTGAGTTTTTGACCGGTGACGGGGACGTCAATATCCGTGGACCACCTGACAATTAGATCAAGTCCGAAACTTCGTTGATTCGCAAAGGAATCAAGAAATAGAAGCGTTTATCTCGGCAACGGCGAGATAATTGCTCTTCTTAAGATTATCGCAACGGGATAATCTTAAGGAACAGACTCGGGGAATGTAGATCTGATGAATCTTTCTCTCCTGTGCTGAAGAACTCGATCAATCTCCTCCTTTCTTCTGAAGTTCATGCACTTTTAATCTTCAATCCGGCAGGGCTTCGCCAACTCTCTAAAAATCCAGATCTGAAAAAATGAAGGTCATGGGGCTGATTTATAGGCTCCGGGGAATTCAGGCGGTTAAAAACTGCACAAACAGCCAAAACCCCCTTTTTAGGGCTGCGGACACCTGCGGGCATCTCAGCGAGGCCGAGACACCCTTGGGTGTCTCGGTTGGGCCGAGACACCTCAGGGTGTCTTAGCTTAGGCTGAGACTGCTGTTTTGCACTCCGTTTTGCATTCGCCGTATTTTCCTCATCTGAACTCGGATTTACGCGATTCAAGATGCGTTGGAAAGCCGACGAGGAGATCTACAGGCTCCCATGATTGAATCATATGTGGAATAAATGAGACACGAGGGGTGTTCCGCCTTTCGTAAACGACGCGGGGCTCCCGATCAGCTTTCGTTCCTTTATTCCGAAGTTCCCTTACTTCGCATGGTTCGTTGACTCACTTCATGTGCTTGTCAATGTCGATTAAGCTTCTGTGACTCGGATAGCGACGTTCATTGTCTTCTCTCTGTCTCGAGTCGTGTGCGGGGACCTATAGGTAATTTTTGACGCCTACATCTAGTAACCTAGCTTTGTTATTTTAAGCTCCTTGAAGATGATTAGGTACTCATAATTTTAAAGATTAAAAACAATTACAGAAGAGTAAAGAGAGAGAAAATGATTCTTGGATGAATGATCTGCAAATTAGAATGAATGATTCTTGGATGTGGAATCAAATGCTTAAAGTGAGAGAGAAAATGATCTGCAAATTTGGAAATGCATCTAATGTGCAAAATGTCATCACCAGGTGCTGCTTTGAAGGTAAAATTCAGTTATCTTATATCTACAAAGAGCTCATTCATCAAAATGCACCAGTTGCTTAGTCTAAAACAGTCTGGGATGGGTGGTTATATCCTAAGCACTCCTTCATCTTTTGGCTTGCTGTTCATTCTAGATTGTTAACAAAAGATCCATGCTGTGTCACATGAGGAAACTTGACATAAATCTTTGTGTCCTATGCACGTATCAGCATCAAGAAACCTGCATGCATCTTTTCTTTAATTGTGAATACTCAACTACTCTCTGGAACAGAGTGATGGACTGGATGAAATGTAGGTGGAAATCTTGCAACTGGGATTATATTATTGGATAGTATAGCACGAGACTGAAGGGGAAGGGGTTTATGAAGAAGTTTAAAAGATTGACATTATCCGTATCAGTCTATGCTATATGGAAAGAAAGGAATAGAAGAATCTTCCAACAAAAAGCTAAAGACCCTGAATCTGTGTTTCGGACAGTGAAACTTCTAAATCTTTTTAAAGTCCTGAATGATGATGTTCCTCCTCACATAAAAGAAAGAATTGTGCAAATGTAATAGTTCTTCATAACTGCTCTTCCAGTTAATCCTCTAGAATGTTTTGATGTACTCAAACTTCTCAATTTGGTAATGAATAAAATTTATTTCATTGACAAAAAAAAAGAGTAAAGAGAGAGAAGTAAGAACAAGAAAAACAAGAACAATAACAAGAAATTAAATTGTAGAAATTAAATGCATAATTTAAAAACTTACAAATTGAAGAATCTAAAAAAGAAGCACTTGAACTCCAAAATAGCAAGCAAGAATAAGAACTTTATTGAATTCTACGGGAATTTCTAATGTAAAATATAATGGCCCTAGGCTCCTACTTATATTAGTTTTCAAGTTGTTATGGTAAATACATCACAGGAGCAATCTCCACCCTTAAAAAAAATACAACTTTAAATCCCATCCGCAAAAGTAAGAACCCTAGCATTCGAATCTATTTTGTTGCTGACTTTAGGTATTGATACTTAAATCTTGGTTATCGATACAAAGCATCGATACTCCCTATCTATGCCCAAAAACATGTATCGATACCAAGTTCTGAAAATATATTTATGTCGATTCTAGTTGGACTCCTTTCTAGATTTGATTGATCTTAATTACTGACTAAGTTACTGATAATTACTGTCCAAGAAAGTGATATTTGCTAAGATTTCACTTCTAGAACTTGGTCTGGGCCTTGGACTTGGACTTTTTGGTCTTGGATCTTCACATTTGGGCTTTAATTGCTTAATTAAGCTCTTTTCTTCATTAATTGCCTGTAACTTGAAAAATTACACTAAAAATACCCGAGTAGCATTTAATATACATAAAAATAAAGGTAAATTAGCATACAAAAATGATATAAAATTTGTTAGCCATTATATATCACCGATTTAAGCAATGCCAATTTTACAGCAAAAGAAAGTTGTTTGGATGTCCAAAATATTATTCAGTTATATTTCTCAATCTGAACAAGATCAATCTATTAAATGCATGCTTCAATTTAGATTGTATATATTCAAATGTATGCAGTCTAATACAAGAAATGCAAACTATTCTTCAACCAAGACCTAGCTAATTTGCAACCGCTGAGTAGCTAGGTTTCATTAAGTTTGATCATGACATCATTGAGAAATGATTTGTATTAAAAGCAAGAATTAAAACACACTGTAATTTTGATTTGGTTTTGAGATGATTTGCTTTGCATCCATGAATCAACTTATTATTGTATCATCATTTTGTTTTCCAACTTCTGAGGCTAGTTACACTACGTTTTAGAAAGGTATAATTTTAAAAATGAGTATGGAGTATTTTAAATCTATAACCAAAATCTTGATCACAGAAAGGTGTATAGGAATAAAGTATTTCATTCGATTGGACTAAAAACTCCTAACTAAAATGTTCAATATGGTGGACCCTATGTTCTTTCCCCAGAAAATCAGCGGCATATAGTATGTACTTTTTATCTCATATAATAACACAACACAATATATTGAGGTTTTTGGGGTGTGTGTGTTTGTCTGTGTGTGTATATAGTAATATGGAGGAACTCGATATCAAACACAAGTTTTTGTGTTTGGTAGTGATGTGCTTCATTCTCATAGACATATATAGCAATATAGAGGAACTTGTACTAAGCACAAGTATTTATACTTGGTAGCGAAGTGATACGTTCACATCCACTTATTTAAATGGGGGACCATATTCACAAGGGTTGGAGAGTAGATGAGAATGAGATACTTTACCAAGCACAAAATATATGCTCGGTACCAATTTCCTACATTTTTCTTATATATATATATATATATATATATATATATA